TTTGGGAATACTAAAAGTAGTATTCCCAAAATGTAACCATACGAACCCTTACTGTTATGAGAATTCAAAGGTTGACCTAGATTGACCTTAAAAAATGAAATAGCCTTTTGAAGTCTAGAAATATTTGAATGGCAATTATATTTTTCTCCCATTTTTACATCTGCTTTTGTTTTTTTTCATAAAAGAAAAAGTTTCTTTTCAAAAACATAAATCTAAATAATATATATATAGACAGGATGTTTAAAGTTATAATAACCATTAAATTTATCACCTATTATGAATAAATATAGATGTCCCTTGCAATTCTATAACTTAATCTTTCATCTTCACAAACTTTTAAACCTTTTAAGTTCTACAACTTCAAAGCATTTTATTAGCTTTTAATTTTATTTATAATATTTTATAATATTGAGATTATAAATAGATGTATTGTGCAAGATGATGGATACTCAAGTTTGGAATAGAAAAGCATTAGTTCTATTTCCCCTCAATTATCTTCTCTCTTTTTATAGCTTATTTTATAATTCGTTATTAGCACAAGTCTCTAACCATATCAACTTGTCAAAGAAAAAAAAAATTCTCATCAAGTTTCAAGCTTTTGTCTCTTATCAAATTTGGAGTTGAAGTTTTCCATTTGCCAAGTAAGTAAATTTAATTTTGCTTGTATCTCACTATGCCTTATAAATATGTTGGAATGTTTAACCATTTTTATAGTATAAAATATATGAAAGTGTTTTAATTTGGACCGTTTTGATTTCATTATAAACAAAACATTGTATAGTGATGGATTTATAATTTGATTACTATGAAAAGACATACATATATTTGTAGATATGGGCTTTTATGATTTGTGTTTTCAAATGATTAAATTCTCTATAATTGTAATAAATTGTATGTGCATTATTGTTATTCTAAATTCTTATTTGTGGTAATATTTTCATTTTATTAGAGATTGTCTAATTTATTAAATATTTCTTTTATNCCATCTACATGCATACATACTCATAAGAGCAATAATAAACAATAAAGTTAAAGAACAAACAATAAAGTTAAAGAACAAATAGAAAGAAATGAAAAATATTAAAGAAGTTCAAATCTGGATTTTTATTTAAAGAAGTGTAAAAAGATAAAAGAAGAGAAGGTTGTTGCGATGGGGAACCCGAGAGTGATATAGCCCCGCATGCACGCCACCTTTAGTTAGTGGCCTCAGAATCAGAATGAAGAATTGTACAGTCCATTAGAAGTGCATGTGGATAAGGACTATACCCAGAATTAGAGAATACACTCACACGGTCAGGGTTCCGAATCCATGCCTCAACTGAGTCCGATCGGCAAGAAAGAAAGAATAGAAATAAAAAAATAATAGAAAGAAAGAAAGAATAGAAAAAAAGAAAAAAAAAGACTAGAAAAGAAAAAAAAAGACTAAAAAAGAAAAGAAAAGAAAAGAAAGAAATGAAGCATAGAAAGAAACACAGAGAAAAGAAACAGAAAACAGAATAAGAAAAATAGAAAAAACAGAAAAGAAAATGCACATCCTATGCATTTGTGCATTTGCATCATACCTATGCATGATACCATGCTTACTATCATGAGTAGTGAGAAATTAGAAACAGAGAAAGAACAGTGAAGATTAGAGAAGTGTGATGTAAGGAAAAAAATTTAGAATATAAGCAACAATGAGAGAAGAGTAGTATAGCGGGTTTACTTACTAAGCAATTAGTGTTCATCCCGTTGTTTTCAATGTTTTTGCAGGTAGTATGTGAGATGCGGTCGCTTGGAACGTCAAGAAGCGAAAGGGTTTGGCAACACTGTCGAGTTGTTGTTTTGGAACGTCAAGAAGCGGAAGGGTTTGGCAACACTGTCGAGTTGTTGTTTTGTGATTGTATTATATTATGTAAAGATTTGTATATAAAGAAAAACTAGATATGGGCCCATTATTTTATACTCATCTACATGTATATTTTCTTGTACATATTTAGTGAGTTTTACTGTTATTTTACGAGTATGCTACTAGAGAGAGAGAAAGCATTACATTATTCATCAATTTATTCTAACAAACCAAACACATTTTCTAAACATTTCCAATAATCTTTAAGGTGATCTATCTTTCCATTAATATAACATCCCTTATAATAAAATATTATATAATCCAAACTCTCCTGATAACTAAAGAGTATATTTGTTGAGTTATTAATAATGTATTAACAGTAACTTATTCTTTTTTCGTACTATAATTGAGACTGTTGGATGAATGTTTAGGCATCATATTTCGAAGCTTGAAGAAGAAATTTATCGGGTTAATAACTCTTTTTAATCCATACTTGATTGTGTGTAACACCGATTTGACTCAAGAAAATAACCGTTGATATAACAGATTCCTTATCTTCAAATAATGTCAACTTTATGGTCTATCAACGGACAATGATATTGGTGATAAGATGCTCATTTATGATAAGCTTATGATTACGAGTAAGAGAGTACATTCCCAAAATTTTCATAATTATAATTCTTTATAATTTTTATAAAAATATATAAAAGTTAAATAAAAAATAAAAAATCTTGAACCTAACTCCTCTTTTTCATCCCCACCCTACCCTACACGCCCCCAACCTCAAACCAAACCCCCACCCCCACACACCCATCGTTGGCAAGCCTTGCACACCCACCATTGGTGAGTAAAGATAGTAAGGCTCATCCTTGAGCATGTGTGGGTCGAGAGAGTCTCCGGCCGACCTGGGTCGAGACGTAGAGCTGAAGGCCCTCGTAATTAGGAATTGCCCACTGTTGTTAGGTGGATGAGTTTGCTACAACGGTTGTGGCCGAAACCGAAATGGGTTTGGATCAGAATATTCAAGGATGAGGGCCTTCCTTCTAACGTCAAAATGTTGATGTGAAAATCTGCATCGACCTAGATGTCAATACAAGAATCCACAACAACTAGAGATACTCAGTTGATCGTATTGAAATCGAGCAAGATGGGTGCGTGACTCTAGGGGGTCAGCAAAGAAGAATGTATTAATGCATAAATATGGATGAGACTGGGACGAATGTCCTCGATGACGATGCAAGAACATGACCCTTTTAAAGTGGTTTGGCTAGAGAAAAACCCAAAGTCTACATACACTGATATTATATCTGGATAGAAACTAAGTCACCATCCTCTCTTTTCTTCTTTCCTTTTTCTTTTTATATGGAGTACTGAGGGTGTCATGATGACAGGCATGTCAACCGGGTCGTCATGGTTTAAACGACGATCGGAGGCCACATGCTTCTCAATAGAAAGGAATGATGGTATTCCCTCTGAAAACATGTGCTTTTATAGGCTTTCCGTCAACTTAACTGCATGAAAGGCACGTGGAGCTGCTTGGCCACGTGCCGCCAATCAGGGTAGGCAGCGTACACCTGGCAAAATGGTTTGGTTGAACAAAGGGATGATTCATATAATGGGTTTCTTAGCCCAACTCACCAAATGTCGTGTTCATCGGCATTCGCTGATCACTCACACTGTCTCAGTTTATTTCCAATCCTAGGCTTGATACCTATCTTTTGTGGAGATGTACTCCAAGCTTTCTAACTGGTTCCATGCTGACCATCTTTACCGCACAATAGTGTTCAACATTGGATGACATGCGTCCAAACTGTGAATGGCTTCTACAAAATTTAGAGCTACTTCTCTGTCAAATTTGATATATCCTCACCATAACATGTATTGATCATATATCTGAGTGTTATGCTGTATTTTATTGTATGTGTGAACCCAACTGTATCAACATAATGTTATGTTTATCCATGAACAGAGTGTTTAGTGTTAAAAACACTCTTTTTCACTATTGTTGTATTATTTTCTCGTATAAAATAATATTCGGTTTTCTTATCGATCATAATATTATCATGTGATGTAATGTATTATGTGTAACATATCATGTTCGCTTTAGTAATTTTTAGTTGTCTCCATAGCTAACTCAAAAAGTTATTTCATATTACTGAAAAATTATGAACGGTCAAAGTCAGCTTATTGAAAATTACAAAATTGCCCTTCAATTGGCAATTACAAATTACTCATTCTATTTCTACTCGACAACTACTCACAGCTTTTCCCTTATCGCGTGGGTCCTTATTTTGTCTACTGTTTGATTTTTTTTCTATTTTGGGTAATTTTGATTCTCTAGGTTAAGATTTGTTTTTGGATTAGATAGGGTGCCTTGGATGAATTGAATCCGTGGATGAAGAAAATATAATATCAAATGACTCAAATCTCCATTTCCTTCTCAAGAAAAAGGGATAATTAGGAACCGTTCACAAGTGACAAGGAAAGTGTTTTGGTAGATTTGGACCATTTGGTATACACACAATTCATTGCTTCCCTTCAATTGAAAAGGGCCATGAGAACAAGAGGCACGAACTTTAGAGCAAGAATTATTAGGAAGGAAAGCCACAAGCACTATGATTCAATGAAACATTTGATTAACTGCACATCATTTTACATAACAAAGTTATGTCAAATATGTAACACTAAATGGATTTATGTTTTCAGGAAATTATCTTGCTCTCGCCCTCTCTCTTTACTAGAAGATGTTTGTACATGTTTGCTCACATTATACATAGGCTTCCCGAAATAACCATCCATAAGTTCATAGTTGATACTCAAGAGAAACGATATCTCAACTACTCAAGTCTGCATAGTTTGTAACCTTATATGCTTGTATTTCTGTTGTGTATTGAAATGTCTAGCACTCTCTGTCAACCCTTTAGATACAAGGAGCTTCAATACTTCAACACCTTCTGGTAAAGCAGCATCGATCTTGTTCAAGAAAGCACATAATATTATTATACGATGAAATAATTAATGATATTGTAAGTACTCAACGGAAATAATGATCTTGTAACTACTCAACGGAAACCATAGCATGCCCAATTCAATGATGAAATGAACATTTGTGGTGAAAATAGATCTTTAAATAAATTATAAAAAGGATCAAGATTAGGATGAGTTAACTTACTCGTTCTCGAGCTATTGCATTGAACTTCTGTAACAAGAAAGCTTTAGGATCCATTTGACCAGGAGGGCTCCCAATACCTAACCAGAGAATCAAAATAACTTAATTATTTATTAATTCATTATAAGAAAAAAAGTTTTAAAATCATATACATATAATGTACACATCAACACAACCAAATAAATAATTCGGAGCTCAAACTAACCAATCCTTAGTCGAGCAAACTCTCGATTCCCTCGAAAATGGTAAATCACACTCTTCAGCCTAGTCCAATGAAGAAAAGTAAATAAAACTAGATGATGAGAGCAAGTGTTCTGAAAACGAAATTCTACATAACACCATACATACACATAAGGTCATTTAAATGCATGAACCCCTCAAGCTGAATTGCAGATTATCAGGTAAGATGAAAAATCCTAAAAAAGTCAATATAAAACACATATGAACTGAGAGATTCCGACCATGTTCACAAGAATTTAAAAACACAGTTGCAAAACTAATTACATAAGGATGAAAATAGCGGTTATGGGACCTAATCAGCACAAGGATATAAAAATCACAGTAATTTTCTTCATCGACATAAACAAACTCTGTTTTAAAGTTGTAGTTAAGGTTGCATAGGTTCAAGAAATCTCTTGATGGCATTCTCCAATATGATAATATATAAAGGCCAAAATAAAACTTGAATGTGTAGTCTCAAACTTGCAAATGAAATGCAGTTAGGTAAAAACAAGTCCCTGGTCCCTGGTCATGCAACCAACTACAATCTAGCTGCACCTCTTTTTGGGGACCCAAGCATGAACTTCAATGATGCAGGACCACAATGTCTTCATCATTCAGACCATCACCAACTTTTACATTAACTGAAAACAAGACAGTACAGACCTATGGGCCAAGGACAAAGGTATGAAAGACTTAAAAAGGGGCAGCTTCTGACTAACAGCCTGGATTAATCCAACACAATATTACTCTAATGCGACTATGCCCACTACTTTGTTTCTTTCGATTTTTCTTCCTTTATCTTTTTTCTTGTTCTGCTAGAGCAGTCATGCATTATTGCATTTAGCACAGCAAGCTGCCTCTTTCTCAAAATACAGCATTTTCAGTGAATAAGATGAGAACATATTAAGTATTATTTTGTGCACAAAGTTTTACTAGAATTAAATACGAAATGCTTCTATACAAACCCATTGTGCCTTCCATGACCTCATTTAGAGTCTCTCCGTCAAAATTTGATAATCCCCAATATCACAGTAGTTGATGTGAAAATCTGCATCGACCTAGATGTCAATACAAGAATCCACAACAACTAGAGATACTCAGTTGATCGTATTGAAATCGAGCAAGATGGGTGCGTGACTCTAGGGGGTCAGCAAAGAAGAATGTATTAATGCATAAATATGGATGAGACTGGGACGAATGTCCTCGATGACGATGCAAGAACATGACCCTTTTAAAGTGGTTTGGCTAGAGAAAAACCCAAAGTCTACATACACTGATATTATATCTGGATAGAAACTAAGTCACCATCCTCTCTTTTCTTCTTTCCTTTTTCTTTTTATATGGAGTACTGAGGGTGTCATGATGACAGGCATGTCAACCGGGTCGTCATGGTTTAAACGACGATCGGAGGCCACATGCTTCTCAATAGAAAGGAATGATGGTATTCCCTCTGAAAACATGTGCTTTTATAGGCTTTCCGTCAACTTAACTGCATGAAAGGCACGTGGAGCTGCTTGGCCACGTGCCGCCAATCAGGGTAGGCAGCGTACACCTGGCAAAATGGTTTGGTTGAACAAAGGGATGATTCATATAATGGGTTTCTTAGCCCAACTCACCAAATGTCGTGTTCATCGGCATTCGCTGATCACTCACACTGTCTCAGTTTATTTCCAATCCTAGGCTTGATACCTATCTTTTGTGGAGATGTACTCCAAGCTTTCTAACTGGTTCCATGCTGACCATCTTTACCGCACAATAGTGTTCAACATTGGATGACATGCGTCCAAACTGTGAATGGCTTCTACAAAATTTAGAGCTACTTCTCTGTCAAATTTGATATATCCTCACCATAACATGTATTGATCATATATCTGAGTGTTATGCTGTATTTTATTGTATGTGTGAACCCAACTGTATCAACATAATGTTATGTTTATCCATGAACAGAGTGTTTAGTGTTAAAAACACTCTTTTTCACTATTGTTGTATTATTTTCTCGTATAAAATAATATTCGGTTTTCTTATCGATCATAATATTATCATGTGATGTAATGTATTATGTGTAACATATCATGTTCGCTTTAGTAATTTTTAGTTGTCTCCATAGCTAACTCAAAAAGTTATTTCATATTACTGAAAAATTATGAACGGTCAAAGTCAGCTTATTGAAAATTACAAAATTGCCCTTCAATTGGCAATTACAAATTACTCATTCTATTTCTACTCGACAACTACTCACAGCTTTTCCCTTATCGCGTGGGTCCTTATTTTGTCTACTGTTTGATTTTTTTTCTATTTTGGGTAATTTTGATTCTCTAGGTTAAGATTTGTTTTTGGATTAGATAGGGTGCCTTGGATGAATTGAATCCGTGGATGAAGAAAATATAATATCAAATGACTCAAATCTCCATTTCCTTCTCAAGAAAAAGGGATAATTAGGAACCGTTCACAAGTGACAAGGAAAGTGTTTTGGTAGATTTGGACCATTTGGTATACACACAATTCATTGCTTCCCTTCAATTGAAAAGGGCCATGAGAACAAGAGGCACGAACTTTAGAGCAAGAATTATTAGGAAGGAAAGCCACAAGCACTATGATTCAATGAAACATTTGATTAACTGCACATCATTTTACATAACAAAGTTATGTCAAATATGTAACACTAAATGGATTTATGTTTTCAGGAAATTATCTTGCTCTCGCCCTCTCTCTTTACTAGAAGATGTTTGTACATGTTTGCTCACATTATACATAGGCTTCCCGAAATAACCATCCATAAGTTCATAGTTGATACTCAAGAGAAACGATATCTCAACTACTCAAGTCTGCATAGTTTGTAACCTTATATGCTTGTATTTCTGTTGTGTATTGAAATGTCTAGCACTCTCTGTCAACCCTTTAGATACAAGGAGCTTCAATACTTCAACACCTTCTGGTAAAGCAGCATCGATCTTGTTCAAGAAAGCACATAATATTATTATACGATGAAATAATTAATGATATTGTAAGTACTCAACGGAAATAATGATCTTGTAACTACTCAACGGAAACCATAGCATGCCCAATTCAATGATGAAATGAACATTTGTGGTGAAAATAGATCTTTAAATAAATTATAAAAAGGATCAAGATTAGGATGAGTTAACTTACTCGTTCTCGAGCTATTGCATTGAACTTCTGTAACAAGAAAGCTTTAGGATCCATTTGACCAGGAGGGCTCCCAATACCTAACCAGAGAATCAAAATAACTTAATTATTTATTAATTCATTATAAGAAAAAAAGTTTTAAAATCATATACATATAATGTACACATCAACACAACCAAATAAATAATTCGGAGCTCAAACTAACCAATCCTTAGTCGAGCAAACTCTCGATTCCCTCGAAAATGGTAAATCACACTCTTCAGCCTAGTCCAATGAAGAAAAGTAAATAAAACTAGATGATGAGAGCAAGTGTTCTGAAAACGAAATTCTACATAACACCATACATACACATAAGGTCATTTAAATGCATGAACCCCTCAAGCTGAATTGCAGATTATCAGGTAAGATGAAAAATCCTAAAAAAGTCAATATAAAACACATATGAACTGAGAGATTCCGACCATGTTCACAAGAATTTAAAAACACAGTTGCAAAACTAATTACATAAGGATGAAAATAGCGGTTATGGGACCTAATCAGCACAAGGATATAAAAATCACAGTAATTTTCTTCATCGACATAAACAAACTCTGTTTTAAAGTTGTAGTTAAGGTTGCATAGGTTCAAGAAATCTCTTGATGGCATTCTCCAATATGATAATATATAAAGGCCAAAATAAAACTTGAATGTGTAGTCTCAAACTTGCAAATGAAATGCAGTTAGGTAAAAACAAGTCCCTGGTCCCTAGTCATGCAACCAACTACAATCTAGCTGCACCTCTTTTTGGGGACCCAAGCATGAACTTCAATGATGCAGGACCACAATGTCTTCATCATTCAGACCATCACCAACTTTTACATTAACTGAAAACAAGACAGTACAGACCTATGGGCCAAGGACAAAGGTATGAAAGACTTAAAAAGGGGCAGCTTCTGACTAACAGCCTGGATTAATCCAACACAATATTACTCTAATGCGACTATGCCCACTACTTTGTTTCTTTCGATTTTTCTTTCTTTATCTTTTTTCCTGTTCTGCTAGAGCAGTCACGCATTATTGCATTTAGCACAGCAAGCTGCCTCTTTCTCAAAATACAGCATTTTCAGTGAATAAGATGAGAACATATTAAGTATTATTTTGTGCACAAAGTTTTACTAGAATTAAATACGCAACGCTTCTATACAAACCCATTGTGCCTTCCATGACCTCCAGTGCTGTGCAGTCGAAGCACTCCACAAGGTAAGTTCATGTCGTCATGAAACTACAACAGGAAACATTAATCAACAAGACAACTTCAAAATGATGTCAATTATCGAAAACCTAATACAGAAATAATTACTAAGTAAAAGTAAAATTACCACAATCACACGATTAAGAGGTAACTTATAATAAGCTGCAAGTGGTCCTGTCTGCATTTGAAAGAAGAGAATAGAGTTAATACATAATACTAAATAATATTTTAAATATTATATGTTGTCACACAATCTCACTAAGAAAACCAAGAACTGTCCTACTCATCATAAAACTTCTAAAATTTATTTCTAGTACAAAAGTTTAAAACATAAACCAAAACAAAAGCAAAGCTAATAAAGTTGCATAAACAAAAGTCTATTAACAAATTCAATGTAGAATTCTCCAGAAAAATTGCCTTCTTTTTTTCCCAGAGTTGGAGGATGGGAATGGCAATAGGGATGCACGAGAAACTTTTGAAAGTAGCCACACTAATGAAAACATAAATATGTTTGAAGTATCAAAATCATTTCCATCAAACCAATAAAAAGTAAACTTGGCAAAGCTCCTCTACATTGACTGATGGGGTAAGTATACACAACATGACACAACTATTTGAAATTCTCTAATATCAAAGATATAAAAAAGTTCTGATTTTGTGCCTGCCTTCTTCTCTACATGCATCAAGTAGAAGACTCCATGAAACACAAAACCCATAGATACACCGTTTTTCATATGCTAAAGGACATGTCTCAATAACTTACAGATTCACCACTCAAATTCATGTAAGTCTGAGGCTTTGCAAGGAGTACAGGGGCATCACCAACAAAACCTGGAATATTATATCAAACACCCATTAACTTCGCACAATACACTGAATAAAAATCAGTAACTACATTAAGTGAAGGAAATCAAAATGACCTTGTCCAAAGATAGCTTTGCAATGAATTGTGTTCATAGAAATCCCCTGGGATTCAGCAAACGCATCCACCATCTGAAACCCCACCTGCTAATAGCCAAGATAGAAGGCAACCTTAATGTTACATATTCAATTCAACCATGGATTTGGGACATCTGATAAAGATGCATTCTTACTATACATTGTGTCTAGTCCCTTGGTATTTATCCCCGGGGTTGCCCAAGCCCACAAAGAGCCATGGCCGTGAGACACCAGTGCAAAAGCAACGCCTAGAAAACCTGTTAATCTTAAGCATCTCGCCTTATGTCCTCCTCCTTCCTTCCACTTTGTTGCAGAACAAAAACCCACCAATAATGCTTTTTTACAATCCCCACCAAATTTCCTTTGCCTACAATGACAATTTAGCATTATGTTAGACAAATAGCAACCAGAATCTCAAGTTTTAACTGGATCTCAATCCAATCATCCCACTGCTTAAAATACTCCAGATATACTTTTTCCCCCTTCATCAATTAACACCAATTATTGAATCCAACGAACATTTACCCTCATCGTACCTTCTGCATTTAAACACCCTTAATTTTCACAATCCAGCTTAAGCATATCTAATGTTAACCAACCAATCTCAACACCCCTCCATTTCTGAACTAAACGAGGCACGAGGCTATTCGCAACGAAAAAAGTCTTCTCTCAACACTTATTTCTAAATCCACCGACTGTAAAAATTTTCAAAAATTAGATGTTTATTCCATACATATTCATAATCACAACATAAAATCAATAGATAAATGCTTAATCATACAGAAAATACAAAAAAAAAAATTATTAAAGTTTAATAATAGGCAATCAGCAAAAAGAAGAGTAAAGATTTTTGTTTTTTTAAATGCGAACAGACGACAATTCTGAAAGAGTACATTTAAGTAGCAGAATTGCGAACGTAACGTCGCCCGGGAAATGGGTTTGGATTTGGGTTTACTTTAATTTTACTTTTCATCACAAATAAAAAATTAAACGTTTCAATTGAACTCAGAAGCAAACGTTTCAGTGAGGCATTTCGTCGAACAAAATCAATGCATCAACTAAACTCAAATTACCCATTAACTTAAGTACTTTATTAAGTCAATAAACCATTAACAAACTAAGAATAGAATCAAAGAATATGCTTTCCGGAAAGAGTTAAAAGAAATTGAGTACCCGTGAACAGGGAATAGTACAAATTTGTTCTGTTTGGAGCTGTATTCCAGCAGCGTTCTGCAACAAGAGAATCAGAAGGTAGAATAAACAGTGGCGTTCCACCGATTCTCAATGTACAAAGGCGTTTTAAATTTTTTGGGTAAATATTTGTGAGTAATGTTACAGGCAATAACCAATTTGTACTAATTTAAATATTAACATTAAAAATTTAAAATTCTCTCCAAAAAAAATTTTAAATTTTCAATATTAGTACTTGGATTAGTACTCATTAATTAGTGCACATAGTTTTATTCAATATTTGGATTAGTACTCATTAGTTAGTGCACATAGTTTTATTCAATATTTTTACCTCCCCGTTTTTTTAAATACTAAAAAGGCCCTATCAATTAGGCTCCTTTTGATTCACAATTTTGTGTTTTTGGGAAAAGTTTTTTGAAAAAAATTAAAAAAAGTTAAATTGAGCGGGTATTACGATGTAGGATTTATAAATTTAAAATACCCCCTATATTTGTTTTTCTACAAAATACCCCCTATAATAAAACATTAAAAGTTAACAAAAATACCCTTAATCTACCCTCAAATACGGACAGCCGGTCACCACTGCCGAATGGTGGCCAGAGTCGCCGTATCGGCGTATGACCGACTGGATCTTGCCGGTCGTGCGCCGATATGGCCTTTTCCAGCCAGATCCACGGTGGATCTAGCCGGCAAAGGCCAGATCTACAGCTAGATCTAGCCGTATTTGCTATTCAACGATGGCCAACAAACGGTCGTCATTAATAGTCAACGATGACCGTTTGTTGGCCATCGTTACCGACTGGTTACGACCAAAGATCTGGCCGTCAACGGCCAGATCTGGCTGGAAAAGTCTAGATCGACGCACTATTGGCCAGATTCAGCCGGTAGTGCGCCATCCTACCAGATTCCGACCATTTTCTGGCAGTGGTGGTCGGAATCTGGTAAATGTGGATTGTTGGGATGTTTTTGCAATTTTTTAAAAAATATTTACGGGTATTTAATTAAATTAACAAATTTAGGGGGTTTAAAAAAAGTTGAATAATATTGTGAGTTTTTAGGTATATTACCGTTTAACTTTTTTGGGAATACTAAAAGTAGTATTCCCAAAATGTAACCATACGAACCCTTACTGTTATGAGAATTCAAAGGTTGACCTAGATTGACCTTAAAAAATGAAATAGCCTTTTGAAGTCTAGAAATATTTGAATGGCAATTATATTTTTCTCCCATTTTTACATCTGCTTTTGTTTTTTTTCATAAAAGAAAAAGTTTCTTTTCAAAAACATAAATCTAAATAATATATATATAGACAGGATGTTTAAAGTTATAATAACCATTAAATTTATCACCTCTTATGAATAAATATAGATGTCCCTTGCAATTCTATAACTTAATCTTTCATCTTCACAAACTTTTAAACCTTTTAAGTTCTACAACTTCAAAGCATTTTATTAGCTTTTAATTTTATTTATAATATTTTATAATATTGAGATTATAAATAGATGTATTGTGAAAGATGATGTATACTCAAGTTTGGAATAGAAAAGCATTGGTTTTATTTCTCCTCAATTAGCTTCTCTCTTTTTATAGCTTATTTTATAATTCATTATTAGCACAAGTCTCTAACCATATCAACTTGTCAAAGAAAAAAAAAATTCTCATCAAGTTTCAAGCTTTTGTCTCTTATCAAATTTGGAGTTGAAGTTTTCCATTTGCCAAGTAAGTAAATTTAATTTTGCTTGTATCTCACTATGCCTTATAAATATGTTGGAATGTTTAACCATTTTTATAGTATAAAATATATGAAAGTGTTTTAATTTGGACCGTTTTGATTTCATTATAAACAAAACATTGTATAGTGATGGATTTATAATTTGATTACTATGAAAAGACATACATATATTTGTAGATATGGGCTTTTATGATTTGTGTTTTCAAATGATTAAATTCTCTATAATTGTAATAAATTGTATGTGCATTATTGTTATTCTAAATTCTTATTTGTGGTAATATTTTCATTTTATTAGAGATTGTCTAATTTATTAAATATTTCTTTTATAGTTTTCGTCATGACAAATCTTACGAAACTTAAATTTGTGGCTCTTGATATTATGGGCAAGAATTATTTGTCATGGATTCTTGATGCTGAAATTCACTTAGATATTATGGGTCTTGATGACACTATCAATGAAGGCAATAAATCATCCAATCAAGAAAAGGCTAAAGCCATGATTTTCCTTCGACATCATCTCCACGAAGGATTGAAAACTAAATACCTTATAGTAAAAGATCCACTTACTCTTTGGGAAAATTTAAAGGAAATACATGACCACTAGAAAACTATGATTCTTCCTAAAATCATGAAGCTCACCTAACAGGTTTTGCTCAATTCCCTGAAGTAAATGTGACAATATATGATAATCATGGGCGTGGGTGGTGGTTATAATAATAACTCTTCTAATTATAAAAGCCACCAGAAGTGGAATAATGATGAAGAGAAAAAGGAAAAGGGCAAAAGTGGACAACATAAAAATTCGAAGAATACAGAAAATTTGTGCTATCGATGTGGCATGAAAGGACATTGGTCACGTACTTGTCATATGCCTAAACGTCTTGTTGAACTTTATCAAGCATCGTTGAAAGAAAAAGAGACAAATATGAAAGCAAATTTTGTCTACCAAAATGAAAATAGAAAAGCAAATTTTGCTTATCAAGATGATAATTTTGATCATGGACCTGTTAATATAACACATCTGGATGTTGCAAATTTTTTCGAAAATCCTGAAAGGAGAATTGATCATTTAATTGCGGATGGAAATGTCTAAAATTATTAAAGTTATGTTTTTGTGAGTGTTTTACTTTTAATATATTTACGTTGAGTGCTTTACTTTTTTTTTTTTTTTTTTTTTTTTTTGCTTTAAATATGTTTAAGTGTGATTTTCAATTTTAGATAAATTACTTTATTTTGTTGGCTTTGTAATATGCCTTACTATATATCTTGTTTTTGAATAAAGAAAAATGGGCATTCCCAAGTCTATGATTGGATCCAAGATTGATGATGAAGATCTTTGTCTCGCAGACAATGCTACAACGCACACTATACTTAAAGAAAAAAAATATTTTTCTCCTTTGATAATGTGTGAAGCTAACATAAATACAATATCTGGTTGTACAAGATTAGCTGAAGGCTCTGGAAGAGCTAATATATTATTGCCAGGAGGAACACGGTTTTATAAAAGATGCATTATTTTCTTCCAAGTCTAAAAGAAACTTATTAAGTTTTAATGATATTCGCTGTAATGGATATCATATTGAGACAACCAATGAAGGAAATATTGAATATCTTTATATTACAAGAATAATTGCAAGCAAGAAATGTGTGTCGGAAAAATTACTTGCTTTTTCTTTCGGATTGTGTACTACACAAATATCAGTGTATTTGAAACACATGTTATAGTAAACCAGAAGTTTACTGATCCTAATACTTTTATAATTTGGCATGATCAGTTAGGCCATCCTGGTTGAATAATGATGCGAAGAATCATTGAGAATTCACATGGACATCCATTGAAAAACCAGAAGATTTTTCAATCTAATGAATTCTCTTGTGTTGCTTGTTCTCAAGGTAAATTAATTATCAGACCATCGCTAGCTAAATTTGGGATTGAATCACCTACATTTTTAGAACGAATTCAAGGTGATATATGTGGGTCTATTCATCCACCATGTGGACCATTTAGATATTTAATGGTCTTAGTAGATGCATCTACAAGATGGTCTCATGTGTGTTTATTATCTACTTACAACCTGGTGTTTGCGATATTACTTGCCCAAATAATTCGATTACGAGCACAATTTCCAGATTATACAATTAAGACAATAAGTCTTGATAATGCTGTTGAATTTATGTCTCAGGCTTTTAATGATTATTGTATGTCAATCGGAATAACGATTGAAAAGCCTGTTGTTTATGTTCATACACATAATGGTCTAGCAGAGTCAATTAATAAACGCCTCCAATTTATTGCTAGACCATTACTTATGAGAACAAAGCTCCCAAGTTCTGCTTGGGGACATGCTATTTTACATGTAGCAGCACTTGTATGCATTAGGCCAACAAGTTATCACAAATTCTCCCCTTTACAATTGGCTTTTAGTCAAGAGCCAAATATTCCCCATTTAAGAATATCTGGATGTGCGGTATATGTTCCAATTGCTCCACCACAACGCACTAAAATGGGTCCCCAAAGAAGATTGGGAATATATGTTGGATATGAATCTCCTTCTATAATTAAATATTTAGAACCATTAACAGAAGTTTTATTTACGGCATGATTTGCCGATTGTCATTTTGATGAAACAAAATTCTCAACATTAGGGGGAGAGAATAGGCAATTGGAAAAGGAAATTACCTGGAAAATGTCGTCATTATCTTATCTTGATCCTCATTCTAAACAATGTGAACAAGAAGTTTAAAAGATAATTCATTTGCAAAATGCAGCAAATCAGTTGTCAGATGCATTCACTAATTCAAAAAGAGTGACTAAATCTCACATACCAGCTACAAATGCTCCAATTCGGATTGATGTCCTTGAAGGACAATTACCTGTAGCAAATGAATCTAAGGCACGTTTAAAGCGTGGTAGACCAGTTGGTTCCGAAGATAAAAATCCTCGAAAGAAAAGAGTAGCAAATGACCAAGATGCTTACATCAAGGAGGCAAGTTCTCATGAAGAGAATAGAGACATGATTAATCATGAAACTCCATAAGAAGTTCAAGTGCCTGAAACTAGCAAGAATGAAGAGATCTTAATAAATTATGTCTCTATAAGAAAAATATGGAATCGAAAAGAAATAATTGTCGACAACATTTTTGCATACAATATAGCGCTTGATATTGTAAATAATAATGAGGATCTTGAACCTAAATCTGTTGAAGAATGTAGACAGAGAGAAGATTCGCCAAAACGGAAAGACGCAATCAAGGTAGAACTGAATTCATTAGAAAAACGTGGAGTTTTTGGATTGGTAGTCCGAACACCTAAAGATGTAATGTCGGTGGGGTACAAATGGGTATTTGTGCAAAAACGAAATGAGAAAAATGCAGT